TATAAGTATATGTGGCAGTTAAGTTTATGTGTCAACTTGCCTGGGCCTGGTTGAGTGGCTGGGCAGCTGGATGCAGTATTCCCCATGATGAGACTGGTAATCAACTCCATGGTGGAATCTACTGTGTACATGTGAGTAGCTGACCTCGGGATGTGGTCTGCTTTCTGTATGTAAGAAACAGCTTTGGGAATGGTCTCTAGCTTATGGCATGCTTGAAGCCTGCATGTAGCTGAGTCATTGTTGCAGCCTGCCATGCTCTGCTGATCCTGGGACTTTCAATGGACTTAATCAATGGCCTGCCATGTGGTTTGGTAACATTGGGACTATGCCATTTTCTTTGTCAACCTTGGGCTTATTAGCCTCAGCAGCCTGTAGCTGCCTGAGTGAAGAGATGCCTCTAGCTTCAGTGGGCCAGGAGCAAGAGGCAGAGCTGAAGCCCAAGGTCGAGGGGCTTTCACCCAGCCCCTAGAGCCTGGCACTTTGAACTCGGACTTCTAGCCTCCCAAACTGTAAGAGAATACACTTCTGTTTTTTCAAGCCATCCCATTTGTGGTATATTCTTGTCAGAGTGGTACTAGGTAACCAGAACAGTATATAAAAAAATGAAATCATTTTCATTTGTGGATTCTGACTAATGGTGACCCATGTGTGTCAGAGTAAAACTGTGCTCCATAGCAGTGGCATCACTAAAGTTGGTGTCATTCAGTGTGGTAAACCATGGTGTCATCCTTTTACCCCACATGGACCTCCTCCTATATCAGACCATACAGAATCCTTAGTTATCTTTATTATCAACTTTAATCATAGAATAATGTGATAAATATATTTGTAAATTGTTTAAATGTGATATTTCTTAGATTATATGAATACTAACAACAAAACTGTTTTGTAAAATCTTTCTACATTGAATCACAACATTATTAGTTACATTAAAAGTAACTGAGCCTTTTAAATTTTTTCATTTCCTTTTAATGACTACTTCATGCTCAAAAAAAATATTGATAAGGTTCACAAATACCAATTACCACAATACTATAACTAAAACACCAGAAAATTTGACAAAATCAGCAACTCTAAAAACATAGGCAGCAATAAAAATAATAAACGCATACTTGTAGCACATGCAGATGAAACTGTGTGATTTGAAGCATCATTATAATTGGGTAATAATGACAGCTGTGATCAGAATGCATTAGAAGGTTCAGGAAGTAAATTAGCATAGAGTTTTAGCTATGCAGGTATATTAACACATGTTAGCTGCTAACCAGAAGGCTGGAGGTTCAAACCCACCAGCCATTCCTCGGAAAGAAGGTTGGGCAATCTACTTCCATAGTGATACTGCCTCGGAAACCCAACGAGGGGTTGCTATGAGTTGGATGTGACTCAACAGCCTTGAGTTTGGAGTTTTGGTTAAGCTGAGCTTACAGAAAACATTTCTGTTATAATTAACTACAGGGATATTTTTATTTTAAAAAAATAATTTTTTTTCCTGAAGGATTGCACAAAAGTTTTATGATCATTAACAATAAAATTGTTTCGTAAAATCATTTTGGCGTTATCCCCTCTGACACTGTCACTCTGCTTGGCTCACACATTCCATACACCTCTAGTAATGCCATAGGATTCAATGGCTAAATTTTCATAAGTAGATCAACAGGTCTTTCTTCTAAGGTGCCTCGGGGTGGGCTCGAACCTCCTACCTTGCATTTAGTAGCAAAGCACCTTAAATATTTGCATCATTCAGGGCCTCATA